ATTCAGTTAGGAGGGAAGTATTGTACAATATTCTAATAGAGTTTGGGATACCCATGAAACTAGTTAGGTTGATTAAAATGTGTTTAAACGAAACGTATAGTAAAGTCCGTGCAGGTAAACATTTGTCTGATAAATTTCCTATCCAGAATAGTTTAAAAGAAGATGCTTTATCGCCACTCCTTTTCAACCTTGCCTTAGAACATGCAATTAGGAAGGTCCAGGGAAACCAGGTGGGACTGAAATTAAACGGGACACATCAGCTGTTGGTCTATGCCGATGATGTGAATCTACTGGGTGATAATGTAGATACCATAAAGAAGGACACACAAACTTTAACTGACGCAAGTAAGGAGGTTGGTCTAGAAGTAAACACAGAGAAAACTAAGTATATGTTACTGTCTCGTCACCAAAATGCAGGGCAAAATCATGACATAAAGATAGGAAACAGATGTTTTGAAAATGTGGCACAGTTCAGATATTTGGGAACGATAACAGATTGAAACCTGATTCAGGAGGAAATTAAGAGGAGACTGAACTCGGGTAATGCTTGCTACCATTCAGTCCAGAACCTTTTGTCTTCTCGTCTGTTGTCCAAAAACATAAAAATTAGAATATACAAAACTATAATTTTGCCTGTGGTTCTGTATGGGTGTGAAACTAGGTCTCTGACATTAAGGGAGGAACATAGACTGAGGGTGTTTGAGAACAGGGTGCTGAGGAGAATATTTGGACCGAAGAGGGATGAAGTGACAGTAGGTTGGAGAAAACTGCATAATGAGGAGCTTCATAACTTGTACTCTTCTCCAAGTATAATTAGAATAATCAAGTCAAGGAGGATCAAGTGGGAAGGTCATGTAGCACGAATGGAGGAGACGAGGACTGCGTATAGGATATTGGTGGGAAAGCCAGAAGGAAAGAGACCACAGGGAAGACCAAGGCATAGGTGGGTGAACAATATTAGAACCTTCGGGTTCCATAAAATGCTGGGAAATTCTTGAGTAGCTGCAGAATTGGTGGCTCCTCCAGAAGGGCTCAGCTTCATGAGTAAGTAAGTAATTAATAATGAACATTGAAAGTAGTTTCTTTTTAATTATTAAAATAAGTCTTAGGGTCCAAGTTTATAGGCAAATTTTCTGGTTGCCCCTTGGGTGAGTGGGTTAGAAATGGGCCCCCATTCCCTGTCTCTCTGCTCTGGCGGGGGGGGGGGAATTAAATAATAAAAAAAACCTACTTTCAGGGCCCCAGGCATTTCCCGTTTCCCTACTCCATTCGGTTCGCGCAGGGACACCCATCTCCCTACATCTCCTTATAGTCGTCTCGTTTATTAAACTCCCAGTATAAGAGTATTATTATACAGCGGGCTTTCCTCCGAAACTTCATTAAATATTGCCACATGTATGGATTGACTGTAGACGGAGTTTTGGATTGATGATCGAATTTGTTTGACTCTTTGATACAGCGCTTGACTACACATTACAGTTCACTATCACACACACAAAAACTAGTGTCCACAGTCACGTCTTCACTAGCCGTTGCTCGGTAGCGGCTTCCAACGGCGGACGTTACCCTTCCTTTGGGTTCCCGAACTATCTCCGACCTCTGCTACCAGCTTCTCACAGCAACAGCGCACAACGTCTGAATCCCAGCAGTTCTCTAACTAACTCAACAGACTCTAACTGTCCTGCTTATAACATTTCGGCACGGACCACATAGAAAACGCCGTTACTTCGCAATATCTACCAGACTAGACATCGTTACATATAGCCACCACAGTAGTCTAAATGGTTAAGTGCCACGGCATGAAGACGTATAGAGGAGTGGAGGCATAGCCCCATGTATTCACAACTTGTCACTAGAAGGTTACGAGTTCTTTCGAATCAGAATTTTGTTTTTGTGTTTGCCGACAGCAGCCGCAATGGATGCCGTGTACCCAGAGCCATTGTCCCGGTTACACCGTCGGCCTGTTCGGAAACAGATGCACAGGGGCTCCGGGGGGCGCTACCGCACCCAGCCCGTCACATTCGCCGAAATCAAGGTGAGTTCACATCCAGGCGAGGTTCTTCTGCACCTTATCGGCCACTGCATGCGTTTCGATATCGGTGGAGTCCGGTAAGTGTTTATTTGTCCCTGTGCCTCGTCTGTGAATGGAGATATGGCTCCATATATTCTTAATCTCGACACTATGTGGCTAGCTTTCACGCTCCGGCTGCTGTATCCCTGTGGTACACCCTGGAAAGAAAGCTTGATGGACATCCATAGCCGGCCTGGACGCTGTGTTGAAGAGAAAAGACCATATTACCCCTGCTGGGAACCGGAACCTAGTTCCTTGGTCATCCATCTTGTCACTATACTGTCTGTGAGACCTCTGCTCCTAGACCAAGGAGGGTTACCCAAGTGGTACCATCCGGACTACTGTTCGAGAGGTGCTTGGTTCGAATTTCTGCCGGGACACACTTATTCTGAGATTTTTTTTTGCCTCAGTACTTCCAAGCAAATCTCGGGACAGTACCTCTGTTAAGTCACTACCGCCACCTTCCAAGTTCCTTCCAATCATTATTCACCAACCGCTCTTCCACTTGATGTCAAGTTGCCCGCGATAGTGACAGCAGCATCGCAAAACAAACTGTAATAACCAATAGACCCCAGTCCGATAATTTATATTATTTCAAATGTTTTGACCCAAAAGCTTAAGAATTCGGTCCTTAGGAACGTGACCGCCGTGTATTGGTGTAGATACAGTGCAAGTATTTCGGGGGAAAATTTCTAATTCCATCTTCAGGATGAAAGAATTTTATTCTGAATATGTAGCAGGTTCCTCCGAAACGTTCGTATCTACCAGATTGAACGGTGTCACGTTCCAGAAGACACTAATCTTCACGGAAGAAGAACTTCTGGTTTCATAAAAGACGGCAAATTTCTTGAAAATGTCAAGGAGCACGGGCTCCTCAAGAAGGGCTCAGCTCCGAGCACGAACTGTACATGTTACTATGTTTCTGTTGAGATGTGGATATTGACAATTACAGGAAGTGGACGAAGAGAACATCGAAGAAAGCCCCACTAACCAGGCGACTGCAGGAGCAGCGAGTAAATCTGAGCTGGACATCAATTCCAAGTTCGAGGAATTCTGGAGGGCGGGTCGGGAGAAGGCTAAAGAGAAGAAGCAAAGGCGTGCCAAAGAGACGCGTAAATCTGAGTCTGAGTCCGGCAACGTCCCGACGCCAACCCCGACGAGCACCATCATCACCCCCACCATTACAACGACCCCACCTCACAGCACCAATAAGTCAAGACCGTCATTATGAGGTGCTATCAAAATGAAAGACACTTTGAACGAGACGAGTAGCGCCTTCTTAACAAGAGATACATGTCTAGTTTCGTAGTTCAGCAGCAAAATGTGATATCTGTATACGGTACAATAATCGTTTAATAACTAAAGTTACTGAAATGCTTACTTACTTACTTAAGTACTCTTGCCTCTACGATCTTCCGAGGACCTTGGCCCAGTCTCTCATGTGGCATCCATTACTAGGTTTCCTAATATATTTTTTACGACGTGAAATTGTTGGTCTCATGTCCAACTTTCAACCTGGAAGAAACGGGCCTACATTTTTTTTACCCCTAAACTTCAAACTGTAGAAGTATATGATGGGTGGCCCTACCAACAGCTTAAGTTCCCGCTAGCATAGCTCTCCTCATGCTAAGCGTGGCCCTACCAACAGCTTAAGTTCCCGCTAGCATAGCTCTCCTCATGCTAAGCGTATGTAAACCGCCCCATCACATTAAGGTGAAGAAATACCAGCAATAGTTAAAATGTAATAGTACTTCAGATAGCTATATCTGCTAACAGTAGTCTCTGTCATCTATCTTAGTTTTCATGAAAAATGCTTATTTACATGAGCATTCTGAAATTTGTTTTTAGTTCATTTTTTCCGGTATTGGACGTAATGATTGGATTGCGAGCGCGCGAAGCAGAGCATCTAATAAAATAAATATTTGTGTTGGCTTTGAAAAATTCTTGCTTCAGGCAACGAATCGCGTGAAATCGTAGCATTTAATTTTATGAAACTATTAAAAATGACTCCGTTTGTATATTTTTCGAAATGTAATGTTTAAATGAAGACAAATGCAGATACATCCAGGGTAACGCGAATTTCGCTTCAACGCGATCTGTTTTACAGAGACCAAATCGATTATATACAACCGGGAAATTTAAATGCTAAAATGAACGGTAAGAAGTAAATGGAAAGTTGTCCATGAAGTTCCGAGGATGGCCAGAAGCATGGTATTTTAAAACTCGGCATAACGGAGGTAAGTGGTCGGTCAGCTTCACGCTTAGGCCGCTTTACCAGAGGGGGAGAGCTCCAGGTCCCCACTGGGCATGAGGCTCCAGAGTTGCTCTGGATGCTGCGAAGAGAATGATCTCTTGCCCCCTGTAGGGAATCGAACTCAGCCCATAGCTCAGTCACTATAGTGACTCAGCTATCCAGGTTCCTGAAATGAATGATACAATTAAAGTTATTTGTGAATTTTGTATTTTGCAATGAAACCAAAGGAGTAACAAATATTTTCAAGTTATGTCTGTACTTTTGGGGGGCACAAGTATTTCATAAGTTGGGGACATATCTGAGAGTGTCATATCCTAGAAAATTCACAGTATGGCTCTCACCACAACATGAATATGATCCTTCACTGAATACATGTCCAGAATGTGTCTACTGCAGAGGGCACCACGAGTGTCTCATTAGCAACATTGTGATGTAAACACATGGCATCTGAAAGGCCCTGGAGGATTTCCCCGATGTATTTGCTGCAAAGGAGATGTTGGAAAAGGCGCAATTTACTCATACATATGAATTAAAGAAGCTACTGCAGTAACCCCTTAAAGCACAGTGGTAACTATCTATACCACATATTTTAATATTAATAAAAACAAAAAAACTGCATGTTCCCATGCCGTGTATTTATTTATGTGTGTTCCGCAAGATTCTCACAATGAGTACCCATTCTTTCCCTAAATTTTCTGTGAGGTATAAATCGAATTTTTTAAACTTTATTTGGATGAACTTCAGGCATCAAACTCTCGAGAAGTGATTATTTTTTTGTACACACTTCCCAAATCCCTAAGTAGTTTTTAATGTTAAAAAGATACAACTTATGTCATATGAATTTTGTGTAACATCATTTTGAGCAATATATTGTTATTTTAATGTATAAAACATGCTAAATTACAGGACGTGGCAACTAAGTGTAAAACCTACCAAATTTCATGGTGTGAGCCTCAAAACTTGCCATGAAATTAGGTGTTTTATGGAGTTCAATGTAACTGATGCTTCCATTATGAAACCATTAAGATTTAACATAATTACGTGTACTTAACTCTTTTTAGCAGTTCCATATTGGAGACATCACTGTTAAAATGAACTGAAGAACATATATGTAATTTTGTGGTAAACTGTAGTGTTTTGTATCATGAAATAAGAAAGGTCTACCTAACTTACGGTAACTCGTCCATAAATGTATAGGAGTAGACCAAAGATCCAAGATTATGCAAAGGAGAGTTCAAAATATTTCAAAACTAGTGTGTACACTTTTGTACATCCAACGTTTATACTACAAAGCTGCATTTCAGTTGATAAAAATTGTAGATTTTAGATAGCAACAAATGTACTAGGTACTCATGAACTTTAAGAGTGATGATTTTTGTAATGGAATTCGGTTGAAAATGAAAATGGGTATTGTTTAAATGGCTTCTTAATGATTTCATTTATTTTAAATGTCAGTATTTTTTATATTTCTGTGGAAACTCCTCCAGAATAAATGTGTATGTCTCCATTTTCTTGTTCATTTTGTGGAAGAATTCCAATGTCATAATAATTTCATCATAAGCTTCACACACTGCATTTCATTAGCTGTTTCTGCGTAGTAATTCGTACTGCATGATATGAACAAGAATCAAATATGCATGTTATACTGCAAAAAATATTAACATTTTGTAATTAATAATGAAGAATGTGCCTATTATGGGTATGTCCATATATGCCATATTCAGTGAGTAGTACCATCAAATTCTGTATCTCTCACCAGAAGTGAACACTGCTACCTGTGACTTGTCACCTTATGACTGGTGAAAAGAAAATAGTGCCAAAAGATAACAATACAGATTTAACATTTTAAAGCACAATGTATCACCTGATTTTACATTAAAAAAAATACACACTTTCTCTATATGATGCATTTATGGGTTTCATACAATTCTCACAACAAACAGAATTTGTTTCCCTAAATATCATTTTTATCAGTAGATCTTCGTAATGGAAACTCAGTGTGTTATCTTGTAGGTAGGAACTAATTTTTAAACATATTTACATAAACTGTAGGTTTCAAGGGCATAGTATTTTAAAACTAAAATGTGAACATTATGAACAAGTCAACGAATATTCTCTTGTGGATTATGACACTGTATAGTTCCAGTAAGTTGTTATCAATGTTTCACAGGAGATTGCTGCCTCCATGTTCAGCATAAAGGTTACCTACCAGTAACTTGATTCATCCATGAGTATAATAATATCATCTTTTTTTATGTTTCATGGAATTTGGGTGGAGGAGCTCACTTTTTCCATCCTGAGTTATTTATGTATGTATGTCTGCAGCCCTGCAGGTTTAAGGCAAAACAAAAAATTCAGAAACAAGATATGTACTTGAAGATGAAAATAAAACAAAATGAAGATTACTGTTTTTGGGATGTCACATTGTGCAATCTGGTATATGTTTCAGGGTAGAAGAGTAGGCTTAAAGAGGAGGTGGAGAAAATGGTAGATATATATGGGGAGGGAAGGCTAAAGCCCTGAGGTAACGAGTAGGAGTGAGGAGATAGGTAAGGGAATATGAGGTCCTTAACAAGGATCTGGCTCTGGGTAAATCTCTCTGCTCTTGAAGCAGACTTTTTCAGGGCCACTGTTTCCTTTCGCTGCTTGTTCTCTCTTCCATCTGCTTCCCATTGGTTCACAGAGCCATACTTTCTTCCACCTCTCTATCCTTAATATGAGTAATTATCCCTTTTAACTGCCCCATACTCTTCTTACTCCTAGTAGTTCCCTAAGGACTCAGATCTCATGTTCCCTTTCCTCATTTTCTTTCCATGCTCACCTTATTTTTATATCCTGAAGGTGAGCGCAGTAGCTTCCTGCGGGACATTGGTACACGAGGTTACGTCCCATAACACAATATTCTTCAGTCATCATCTTAAGGACCTCAGACTTCACGAATTAATGCTGAATATGGGCAGGTGAGACAAAACAATCATTCATGATCACACTATAAATTAAACTGAATCTTATGTAAGCAAAGAAATTCAAACATTGAACATGTTTGCCAATCTTGAAATAATACCGATGCAATTATACGTGTACAATGAAACAACCATTTACGGATTCTTTGGGGAGCAACTGATCTGAACACTAAACTGGTGAAAGTCTTGAATGGAGGCCATTAAATACAGAGATTACTGATTTTGGATCAAAGAAACTGAGCAACATCAAATGAAGGTTCTGGTGGAATAAAATAATGACAGACTCAGATTCAGCAAATCAGAAACAAATTATTTATAAATATTATATGAAATTCCACACATTATTGTTTCTCATTGTTATCATAGGTACTGAGGCTGCTCACTGGCTACAGGCTGATGCAGATGACACGTTTTCTGTTGTCTCTGTAATAAAATATGATAAAAATCACAAAGAACAGGCATATCTATGCATGCTTATTACACATATAAATTATTTAATTAATAGTGTATGTTAGCACAATGTGTAATTTTCAGAAGCAGAGGTTTATTCTCTAGTTTTGTGGTACAATCCAGGGGTTCTCAAATTTGTGGTACTGTGACCCCCTAGAAAAATACATAAATGTATGCCTCCCCATCTCTGGTCAGTGAAAACTGCAGTTCTGCATATTGTTTCAGGTCCCTTTCAGGTTGTACAGTAATAACAGGAACTTAGAAAGCTTTACAGCCTCTCTGCACCTACAGTAAGCTATAAAATATTCCTGTACAGCCATGAAATATTTTCAGAATATTTTGATGGCTGCAGCCACATTTTACAAAAACTTCTTGACTTTCTAAGCTGTGCATAGATACCACTATATTTTAAATAATTCTCAAGAACTTGTCAGCCACCGGGAGGGTCATCAAACACAATTTGAGAAACCATGGTATAATCCATCTGCACTTGACCAAAATATGTAATTGATGCATATGGCTGAAGTTTCAATTCACTCTTCTGTGATACATTAAAAACATTCATTAAGTTCCCATTAAACAGATCTTACGCAGCAGCTGATATTATTTCTTTCCGTGGAGAACTTGGAAGTTAGAATATGCATACCAGAAATTTTAATATTAGAACAATAATAATATACTACCTGATTTCTATGCATCTGACACAAACAGGCTAATTGTCTACATTTTAAATTTGTTCAACAACAGCAATATGCAGAACAAGTTTTGTGAAATGAGAGATTAATTTGCTGCCTCTGAATGAATAACCATCTAATTTTTTCTTTCAATATATCAAATTTACAAACATTTAATTTCATGTCTAGTAATCAGATATAACCTAATCTTGGGGGCTATATTTACTTTATAAAAACATGTCTTACTTTAGGACAAGTAAAAAAAATATTGACGATATTCTGCAATAAATGAAAAGTGTTAGAACTTCATATTTACACAGCACATGAATTTCACTCTGAACATTTCTGATCATTCCAATCTACTGCTTCAATTTGGAAGACTTCTGTTATTAACTCTAGTCTAGACATGAGGTCCTGAAAACAAAAGGAAACATCAGTGTCTTGGGCACATGGAGCTAGGGAAGTCAGACCCCCCCCCCCACACCAATATTAAGAAAACAAAACTGCAGAAAGAATGAAATATACCAAGAATTAAAAGTATTTTTAAAGAAATTATTCTTTCATTCTGCATACTCTGCTTTTATCAGTGAAATCTGTCTTCAAGCATGTAGCTATATGTTTCTAAGTAAATTCCTACACTCCCTGAAGAAACAATTATAGTGACACCCATGCTTATAATGTAAGTATTTGTACTCTGAAACTGATATACTTATACAATTGCCATTCTATCAAGCTTGTGAGCAAGCAGTTACAAATTTGGCAGAAAATAGCAGCAATAAATGGTAGTGGAAAGTATCCCGAGTCAGTATTGCAGTGCCCACCTTTGCCCCCTCCCCCAAAGTAGCATTCCACCGTGCAGCAGCACAGCTTAATGCATACTGTTATTCTGTTTAATATCTTAGTATTTTCTATAACTTTCCAAGTTATTGAAATTAGGTATTTTCGATGTAGTATGCTTTTATATTTGAAAATGCTGCACATGCATAGAAAGGTTTTCTCAATAGATTTTATGCTCCAATTTCAATAACAATGTCAACAAATGACATAATTTCCTGTTGAAGTGTCAAGGGGCTTTATAATAGCACTATAATGCAATCTTATGTGTTTCTTAACTGAAGACAACAGAAGGCATGGAAATTCAATTGAATTAAAGTTTTATGAAAGTGCTGATATATGTCTTTGGATATCACAATAAATTTTAATAAATTTAATCTATGTCTAAAGGTTTCTGACAATGGTGTGTAACAGTAACTAGGATTATTATTTTACACATTGGCCATCATCCTGAGTTTCATCAAAACACAATGTTTCAGGAACTGATCTGTTTCCATCATAAAGTATGAGAGGATAGATTCCTACTCAGTTGGGTGCATTAGAAACAGCTAGTATCATTCACTTGAGGACTGAGAACCTTTCCTATCACACGTGGTAACAGTTTCTGCAATGCTGTGTTTTGAAGAAACTCAAGATGGACGTGCAAAATAATAATTATAATGAATTTAATCCTGAAATATCTTAAAGCTAACAGTGTTATAGTGAGACACTAATTAAAAAATGTCAGTAGTAAATTTTAAATATAGCCACATACTTACTAAAGACAATAAATAAGGCAGCTGTCTCATTCAGTGATTTTGTAAGACATCAGATCCACCTGTAGGGTTTTATTTCGAATATCTTCAGTCAGCAATATGTGGAATACTTGATTTCCCAAATGATGACCAGATTTCAAATCATCTGAGGTCAGAAATTCTGAATTTCTGCTTCCATCTGATTTAATTTCATGCAGCTCACATAGACAGACCACACTTGATATCGAGAAATGCCATACATTCCAGCATTATCTCCAAGACACCAGAGATTCAGCTACTAATTCAGGAACTCAATGTTGGTGTATTATGTGTGTGATCACACAACATTGATCTCTCCCAGCATAATAAAAAATGTTATAAGATGTAGTATTAAGAAACAAATTTCCTTCTTTATTTCCTTGAGATGACATTCCAACATCCTACAGTTGTAATAAGATCTTAAAATCCAACAGTCTTGTTTCTAAATAATTTCACCATTTCTGCTACATTCATTTATCATTATGTTAAGTCAGTGCTTTAATATGCTGGAAGACTTGTAGACTATACTGAGGTCCCAGAAGGAAGTCTCATGCATTGTGGGCCTATCTCTTTCTGCCTAAAGTTGTATTTTTCTGCAAACCCCTTCTGCCACCAAGCCTACAGCGCTTGTCACTACCAGCATTTGTATGAACAGAACAGCTCAACTGGAGGAGCATATAAGGAATTCTGTTGGAGGAGGAAGTAAATCAGTGGACAGCAAGGGGGTGACCCAAGGCATTTCTATTTGTGATCTCAGTATAGCGTAATTACTTCTTAGTGGTTTATTTTTGGAACATAATTTAAAATGTAAAGGTGAAATCAGAAGACAAATTCCTTCACTGTCAGATTATATAAAAGTCTTGTTTTCCCTGAGTACAGACTTCAGCAAAATAAATAAATACATCCTAGAGAATAAACCTCTCCCACACAGATACAACCATACTGCAAGTTCTTTCACTCTTCCTGGGTCATGGAATGATGTGTGATCTCTAGTTGACAAAATACAGATCGATCTTCATAGTACACTGACTTTTACAGAATCACACTGTTTTCATGAGTATGATACAGATGCTGACGATGAAATTGGCAAGATCAGTTTTTGTGATGAGACTAATGGAGACATTACACTGCAGATAATAGTAGAAATAAAATGTACTCAATGATTCTGTGGTGTTAACATAACTTAATTTTAAGTCAACCAGAATAATTCTGAGTCAAGATGGTAGATCATGTTTTCTAACTGCAAATGAATTTATTTCAAACCAAGCAAATTTCACTGTAAATGCTGAGTGAAACGTATGCTTGAATTACATACTTGCATGACTGCCGAAATACATAATGGACAATTCTGAGACAATTCACTGATAGTTAATATTTTTTGACTTTGTATTTGGCATATTTATTTATATTGTATATGATATAATTTATACCTTTTAGTCAAGAGCATTTGTAGACTAAAGAGCTAACACTGTCCCACAGGGCTTCCATTTAAAATAAAAAAATTGCGAAGATGAGCGTCTTCTGAAATGTTATGCCATATATATAGTCTGGCAGATTGTTACCAAAATTTTGAATGAAACTGCTGCCTCCTGGTCTGAGGCTGAAGGTAAGAAATTCTTTCAAAACACAGGTCATACAGTATTATAGTTGGGTACCTGTGTTTTGAAAGAATTTCTCGTAACTTATTTAACAACACTTTTCAATAGCTAGACTACACAGTGTCAGATGAATGAATGATGAATTGGAAAGGATCTAATCAAGGTACTTTCTCAGCACTTGATTAGAACTGATGAAAACCTCAGTCAAGACAAGCCAGTGTCTTAGCCAAGATCCAAACTCAGCACCTCCTAAATACAAGCCTGGAGTGTTACCTCTTGATTAACCTGTTCAGTGGAAGGCACAATAAAGTTTTACATGCTTCATAATTACCTCTGCATCACAAGAAGTTTTACATGTAATGTCCAGAAATGGGATTGCATAACAATAGCCTGACAGAAAAATTGTATTCAAATGAAAACTTTTGGCAGAATGTTCACGTGATTGACCAGATAAGACTCTCGTTAGTGTAGTAAGTTTTAGAATGAAACAAAGGTTATCTAATAAGGAAGCGTTTGAGTACGGGAATTATCATGGAACATCTTCCTGATATCCACAAGGAATAAAAAGAAAAGAGAGATTAAGAAATTAAAAAATGAGAGAGAATTAGAAAATAAATTCATAAATAATAGAATAAGATAATGCGTGCATGTTATAAGAGTAAACAAAGAGAGACACTCAAAGAAGGTTTTGAACTTTGGAATGAAAGTAAAACATACATGAAGACCCAGGCCAAAGGGGCATATAATTGAAGAAGCGTTGAGAAGGCACACACAGAGAGAGCAGTTGTGATGTTAGACAACCCACATAACAATGGAAATGTCTGAAGGAAGAGATGTTGTTCCTTAAGCAGTGGAACATTCAAATTGAAATATTATTGTATCTTTAATAATTTAAGAAACATGTAAAAAATCTTAAAACTGAAAATTTACTTATGATTATTAACAAGGAAATTACTTGGTTTGAAATTGAATAATTCAATTGCAGTTGTAGGGTTTCAGGTTCTTACAGCGGTAGTTATGAAGAGTATTGTCTTCTGGGGTATACTGCCTTGTAGTCACTACACAGCATTATGTCCCAGAAGGCAGTGCTCTTCAGTTGCACTTGATTTGAAACCCGGATGATATAGAAGTTTATGGTATGTTACCATTACTGATACATTAAATTTCATATTATAAGCACATAATGGAAATACACAAGCATACTAAGAATCATAATTTGAAGGGCTCAAACATTCTTCAATTATAATACTGAAATTCTGTTATTATAGTTTGGGTCATCTTGATTTCAATACATGTTACGGTGGACGATTTTGGGGGTGAAACCACTCAAGACGTAATGAGACACAATTACATGAATACTTCTCTTAACTGTCTGCATGCCGTGAGCTGATTAGATTGACAGAGCACACTTGTGTGTTAGAACTGCCACAGATTGTGTTAAATGGGACATATCGATGTCTAGAGAAAAGAACAGGTTTTCGCTTTTATCTATACCTTCGTTCAATATGATGCATTCCCCAGGTAGAACTACTCTCCGAGGTCCAGGGCAAAGGAGACACTCCGTCTGAGAGTCTAACATAGTTGGATTTCCTAATATACTTTTATGTTTAACATACGTTGAACAATTTAACAGATATGAACAGGCCTGCACAGATATCCTGTAAATCTCTGAATCATCTCCAAAAAGCTACTGTTGAGCCAGCCAAAGAATTCTCATGGGCAGTGGGGATAAGAGTTACTAAGCGGGAATGGTTATCTAAAGAAACTAAAATGCTGAAACAATTATTTTAAAGCAGAGGAAATAATAGGGGCAAAAGAGTGGTGGTAGAGTAAGGGGAGTGCAGGAAGGGAGGGTAGATGAAGGGAAAATCCATGAGAATTCTTTGCCTGGATCTACTACAATAGTCTGACTAAGGTAAAATACCTTAATAAGAGTACAGCTCAAATATTTGCATATAAATAATAGCCACATTCTTTTATATTCAGGAACAATGGGCCAATGCTAGGATATTGGAGAAATGAAGAAACTATGTTTTCCCATTATTTGGATATGTGGACAGGAATTATGGAATGTGCAAATAAATTCTGGAGGGAAAGAAATTTACAAAAAGGGAAGAAAGGGTGTAATTGAAAAAATTAAGACAGACATATGAAAGACAACAGAAATAAATTAAGCAGAAATGAGTGAAGGAGATAAAGATAAAGATGGATGGAGGAAAGGAAGACAGATATGTTGGTAGTAACATAATAAGAAGGAAATTGTGATCACAATTTTTGGCGCTATGGTGACTGTGTGCAGACCTGCATATGAGGCTTGATAGTCCCATGCTGGTGTGTTTTGAAGAGAATAGTTCATGACTTCTGAAGTCATACAAGGATGGAAATGAAGGCAGATGAAACTATATATTGTTGCAGACTCTTTATATTTTGTGAATTTCATAAAGAACTCAATCTCATTCATCAAGTAACACCTGTAATATGTCAGAACATGTTACGTTTCAGACCAGGGCAGAATGGCGAGACTGAATGTTTGAAAATAAAAGTCAGCTTAGATGTTTGGAACTGACAGTAACATCAGTCAGTGGTCATGCCATCTCTTTGCATGGGAAGAAAGATCAGTGCAGGGCACACTCATGGACCAATCTTTCCCCTCTTCTGAGCCAAAAGTGTAGCCATCTTACTTATCTCTGCCTCGGGACGCAACACGTGTTGCTCAATTCACTCTCCATTATGAGGTGACGAGAACATAACCCTAGGCAAAAGCCAGGAGATGAGAGACAATTCTCACAGAGTTGGCACACAAAATCATGTATTGTCTTGGTGCATTGCTTGCTGCTGACTGGGTGATGGGGTTTGCTGTCGTGGGGGAGTGGAGACTGCAGGCGAAGGGGGTTGACTAGTTTGGTGCTCAGCACTGCTGATTGGAATTTCTGAGAACAGAGAGCTGAGCTGTGGTGAACTCTGAGAGGTGGTGGGTTGCTGGCGATGACTGGAGGCTAGGAAAGGTAAATGAGGTGGGGACAAGCCACTGCGGGATAGGCGCCGTGGGAGCCCTGTATCTAGTGTTGTTTGTGGACTCGTGTGTATTGTTATATGTTGGAGAGCAGGACTGCCCCCAGAGGGACTCCCCTGTGGGGATGAGGTGGTGTGAAGGATGGCATAATATGGCTGTGAATGGCTAGAGACCTCTGTTGTATGAAGAACGGCAGCTGTACAACCACTAGGACTGTCCGGTTCCTCGTCTTGCTGAACGCTTGTTTCAGCAGCTGACGGTATTGTCGTTAGGAACCTAACTGTGAGGCGTCCAGGAGAACCAGGTGGGTCAGAATCATCTTGGACGATGGCACTTTGCCTTGTGAGGCGTGGCTTGGACCGAGATCTGGTATTATTAGTTTCTGCAGGAACTGATACCACTGTGGTCCGCATATCACTGGAGGCACTTGAGCGAGACATCCTCCATGTGCTGGTACTCGCTGTTGTTGCTGATCCCGAAGAATCATTCCTGGAACTTGACAGGTTTGAGTCTTGAGAAGTTTTTCTGGTGACAAGCCATGATGATCCTCTTCGCTTGGGGTCGAGGAGACGGAGAGGTATACCGCAGTGATGGTGATTCTGACGCCATGAGTCTGATCTTGAGGAACTGAAGTTCTCGCTGGATGACACTGAGGAAGCTCGCTTGTGTTGCTTCTGCTGAATCTCTGCAATCTGGTATGCATATTGATCTGACCGAGCTCTGTGTCGATTCTCTCTGTTTCTGTTGAAGCACAGTAGCAGCCACTGGCGGGGAGACACGCCTTGCTGTCGGCGACTCCTGGAAGCTGTGGTGTTACCATCATTCAGCAACTTGGTGTTGCAGGTACAGGTCTGCGTGTGATGTGGGTGTGCATGTTGCTGCTCCCGTGACGACCTGTCTACCAGACTGTTGGTATTGGCTGGTGTCTGGCGGTTACTGAAGTTGGAACTATGACGACACCTTCCTATACCTCTCGTCACTCGGGACTCCTCTATTGCCTTGCAGATGAGTACACAGTCCTTCTTGAATTGTTTGGTTAAGATGGCATATAGAAACGGGTTGCAACATGAATTGAGAGGCAGGATAAACACGGTGAACACTTTGGCCTGTTCTAGAGAGATGAGCTGCAGCCCAAATGCTGCTGTAAGGGAGAAGAATGCAATCGGTGACCAACAAATGAAGTCTGTAAAGACGAGTAGGGCCATTCGCTTAGCTATTCTGGAATCGTTGGAGTTCCATGCCTGAGAGCCCCGAATGGCACAGTACATCTTCAGGTAACAGCCCATAAGGATGAGGAAGGCAACACCATTGATGAACATAAGAAACACAACGTACATGAGGCTAGCTGGACCTGTTGTTGTCTCGAAAGGGAGGCATATGGCAAACTTGCGGTAATCAGAGATACCAAAGAGAGGGAGAAGAGCCATGGAGAGAGCGAAACTCCAGCCACAAGCCATTATGTAGCTCGCATGTTTGAGAGACAGCCGTTTGTTGAGATGCATGGCGTGCGTGATGGCGTAATTCCGCTCCAGAGTGATAACTGCCAGTGTGTACACTGACAGCTCTGAGCTAAGCACACCCAGAAAGCCGGCCAGTTGGCAGCCCACAGACATCTGCCATGGGATGGCATACATCCGGAACTCTCCTAGTGTGGAGGCATCAACCACCGCCAGGAATCCTGCACATTTGATATGAATTGTCACATTCAGAAGCGGATCGACTACTAATTTAAATTTTACACAGACAAAATAGACATGTAATGAGTATCCAGTAATTAATGCATATATTTGTTACAAACAACTATTAAAACCATTATGGCAGGGCAGAAAGTTTTATTCTTTATTAATTCTGTAAAATAAATGTAGAGTCATGTTATCTCTGTGACAAGCATACTTCATCCACGAAACTACATAAAAATATAAATTTAATTTGGTACTGGAGGTCTACCCCAAATGTTGTCAGAGAAAATTTTATTTTGTTCATACTGGTCCAATATGCTCTCTTACTTACCAGAAACTTAGATCAAAATTTATAATTTCCTCAAAAATGTCAAATTGTACAATGATTCTATTTCTATGATAAAAGGTAAGTAAAGGAATCCCTATAACAGGCCGTGGAGGCCCATAGGATTGTGGGACGTGAAGGCTCCCACATTTTCTAGACAATCAGCTCACAGATGGCGGTGAGATTGTCAACCTTATGCGCCGGCTGCGCTTTACCTCCCAGAAATAATCCTGGTACTCGCTTCTGTTAGAGGCTGAGTCAACACCAGGGCCACAGTGCGACTGGAAGGATTATGTAAATTTAAAAAAAATCCAATGACCTCATCAGGACTTGAATCCACAACCTTCCGGCTTGTAGTATAGTGCCTCAACCAACTATGCTACCATGTACAACAGCTGATTTATACTTGTAACAAATGAATATGAAGAGATATGTAAATTATCAAAGAATATATTTGTGCATTTGCACATGGTGCATAAAATGAAAGCATAATGTGGAGGGAATGCATGTGCATCACCATGCCTTTTTAACCTACTCAGTGGATTTAGATGAAATTTGGCATTAGATGGGGGATAGAACATTAATTATTCCTGGATGAACTGAATTTCCTTAAGCATCAGTCAGCTATGACAAATACTTTTATATTTATCAAGATCTGAACTTCATCAGATTTCTCAAAATGAAAGTCTATTGTAAAGAAATTAGCATGTCATTCAAAATGTACAACTGAGGACTATCTACAACTTCACACTACTCTGAAGATAGAGGCAGCAGGTTCCTCTAAAATGTGACTACTGCATCCCGGAAGAGATTGGTCTTCGTAAGATTTGAGGCTTTCATGGCGGTGACTATGAAGAAAGCAGTCTTCTGGGATTTGGCACCATGTATATGTGGTGTTAACCGACGTTACGGAGGAACGTATCGCCTCCATCTTCAGGGTAGAAGAAAAATATAAGAAATCTGCAAGCGAAGAGACCGTGAGAACCGGCAAAAGCAGACTGTGTGACCCTGAAGATGAAGGCGATACGTTCCTCCGAAACGTCGGTTAACACCACATATACACAGTGCCAAATCCCAGAAGACTGCTTTCTTCAGATTGGTCTTCATTCCATTATGATTTTTGACAAAATATTCACACACCAGTTAGATAAATTTTATTTCTCTATGTAACTACCCTGCTTTTCAATACATCTGGTCCCAGAGCCCATACTTTCCTTAATATCATTACTATAATTGAGACTTATAACCACTATTTCACTTATTCTTCAATGATTAATTCAAATCTCAGACAATCTTTACTGTCTTAGTCTAAACTGTGGTTTAAGCAAATGGACAGCTCTCCTAGTGTCTGAGGATTCTTACCTAAGTACACTCCCATGAAGAAATCTGCAGCTGCTAGATTGCAGACCAGGAAGCGGGGCACATCCATCTTGCTACGTGAGAAGATGAGTACGAAAACAACTGTGCCATTACCCAGCATGGCAAGCAGGAACACAATCCAAACGCCACAGCGCAGTGTCCACCAGTCAAACAGATCCTGGCAGGGCAGGAATGGACCTGTGGTACAGATAAAGTACCATGAATGTCCAAGATAATCTTAGTTCAGGTAACAGCACCAAGGAAATTCAAACAACCCTATGCCTGCCTTCAGTAATGATAGACGCATGGTATAATCATTTGGTATTAATGTATTGCGACTTGTAACTTACCCGGAAGTGGCAGACAGGCAATCTTCCCAGGTGGCAGTTCACTTCCTGCTAGCTTGGCATTCTCCTGATCCTCGAAGTATTCCTCAACATATGCTGGCAAGTTCCCTGGGTATGTGAAGTCAGACCCAAAGTTGTCCCACATATCGTTGATTTGGGTCCCAAACTTTTGTGTCAGGTTCTCTGTATACAGAAATGATTCTCTGAAGTGGAAAAGTTTCCTTAAAGTGGGTGTCACATCAGTACCTACACGAGCAACACCAGCTTAAGAAATTCACAATCACTAAGAACCAAATATTTAGCTAAACAGTGGAAACAGTTTAAAACAGGCACCAAATTGACAATTTGATGAGAATGCTTTAAAGTATAATTCTCTGTTATTTCCTTCAAGTCCAGATGTAGGCAAATGTCGGTGCACAGGCCCGATCAAGACATCTCAAGTTGCAGACAAGTCTGTGGCAAGAGAATAAAATGGAACTGTGTGTTTTCTGTGTATATTTACATTAAAAAACAATTGACTTAGCTGTAGGTTAAAACAATGTTAAGAAACAGAATGCTTTTGGAATGAATTTAGTTTTATTAGCAAATATTAATTTCTATCACTTTTGGATTCTTTCATGTTTTAACATACCCCACATAAAGGGAAGAGACCACTTAAGGCAAGATGGGATAATATTAAAACTGATGCTAATGAAATAAGTGTGAATGTGGGCATCCTTCCATGAAGTTCAGGAAAGGGACCAAGGGTGGGCTCTTGTTAACTCGGTAATGAACCTTCAGATTCCATAAAATGCTGTGAATTTCTTGAGCAGCTGAGTGACCATTGACTTGTCAAGGACTCTGCTCTGTGGAATTATGTCATGCCACTGATCAGTAGGAAACACACCTGAACTCATTTAGTCAAGTCATGTAGCAACAAAGATTCTCTGAACAATTTTTGCAACATTATTGACACAGAAGTCGGTACTTACGGAGCTGGGGCCAGACATCAGTGAGGCTGGAGTTCCAGAGGGACATATCGAATTCGTTGTTGCTGGGGAAGAGTACAGCCTCATGTAAGTTGGCCCGAGGGGGAGGTTCTGCAGGAATGAGGGGTAGAAATGCACAGCAATGGTAAGCATATGACAGCACGAGGCTCTGGATACGCGGGAAATGTTCTGGTGATGGAAACTCGCGCAAGTTGGGGTTGTTGAACGTCTTGAGGTGTAGCAGTCCATTAAGACCTCGTGAGGGCAGCACTGGGAACAGATTGTTGCCCAAGTTCCTGGTACAAGACAAAACAAGTTTAAATTTGATCTGAGGTCTTCAGAGATGTGAACATTCATGTTGTGGTCTATTAGAGTGATGTGGCAGAGCCAGGATCAAGGGATGGTGTTTTATTTAAAGGGAAGAGGGCACCTGACATAGATGCGAAGATAATACTAAAATGTGTGAATGCGAATTGGATTTGTCAGGTTCAGAGCAGGAATCAGTGACAGGCTCTTGTTAAGTACAGAAACGCTATGTTTTATTGGTCAACTGATAACCAATGGTGAGACAGAGAAAGGACAGTATGAGTTGCTATCCTTGGGTGTTAAGAGGCTGAGTGACAGGAGTAAGAAGGTACAGAAAATCATATAAGTGAAGATAAGTGACATTCTAAATGCAGACTAAGTCTGTTGAAACAGATAATGCTAAATCTCAGGTAGAAGTGACTTGCAGAAATGGCTTAAATTCATATCATCTACAATGTCTTGGCACATTAGAGCAGTAATTGGGTCGGGTCAGGTTAGGTTAGGTTAGGTTACGTTAGGTTAGGGTGGCACCCTGGTACTTCTCTCAGACACACTGATGTGAAATATTAAGTTCTTATAGCTTCTTTAATTTTTGACCCCTGAGATGAAAGCATCAGCCCCTTTAAGTACGTACATTTCAGGAGCAGTTTGCAGTTTAATTCTACATTTTAAAATGTAAAGATATTCTTAGATAATGAGAATGGCTTCGTATTGTGATTTATATACATTTATTTGAAGCTGGAACTGCATTCTGGATTTTTAGGAATACAACCGACCACAAAGTGTGTAAAACTTGAAGGTAATAGCCAGTGATATGTACATGTGTAAGCTTGGACACTTACTCCAGACAGCCAAAATTATTTTCCTAAATGATTATTTTGCAAACTCAAATATGCATGTCACTTACAGGTCCTCAATCTGTGTAAGGGGCACGAATGCTTCCGGATGAATTTTCTGAATCCCATTGTTCTCCAGATCCCTGTAAAGTGAACAACACAAATACTGTATAGTTGCACTATCAAGGAACTTATGATTTTACAAAGTTCATAACGGATCATTAGTTTAGTTATGTCTGTCTGTAATTTCAGCCCTTTTAATAACTTTACTCCGTATACTTTTTATAATATACACACATAAGTATATTATAAAAAGTAAAGGTATCCCTGTAAGGGGCCGTGGATGCCCATAGGGCTGTGAGATGTTGAGGCTCCCACATTTTGTAGACAATCGGCTCACAGATGGCAGTGAGGCTGTCAGCTTTAAGCGCCAGCCGCCCTTTACTCCAAGGAATATTCCTGGTACTCATTTCTCTTAGAGGCTGGGTCAACCCCAGGACCATAATGCAGCTGGAAGGATTAGGTAAATTGAAAAAATCCACCTTATCGGGATTCGATCCCTCTAACTTCCAGCTTGTAGCATAGTACCTCAACCAACTACACTACTTTGTGAATGTTTTTATATTGCCAAGCAAAGTATAATAAAATGACATGCATAAAACTAATGGAAAGCCCACACATATACACCACATAAATTTTTACAGGAGAGATCTGAGATTCTCACACTGGTGACTGCAAAGCTTACAGTCGTCTGGGAAATGACACGATGTAGTCCGGCAGACAGGTAACAAGGTCTGGGGGGGAAGTCTCTTACACTGAAGATGGAGTCAGCAGTTTCTCTGAAACGTTGGTAAAAACCAGACTACAAGACATCATAACCCAGAAGACAGTAATCCTCAAATTTCTACAATTTTGAGAGGGCATATATTAGTTAGAAATAAAGCAACAAAGAAGAGGGTGTAGTAGAGCAGAATCTCTGTACTGCATGCAATGTTTATTTTCTCTCCTTGCTTTACCTTAGGAGGGACACATGCATTTACACCACGCAACATCACTGGAATGAACTGACAGCAAAGGTTGCCTCATGAGATGTGCTGTTAAGACTTACAGCAGCTGGAGAGCAGGGAGACCATGAAAAGCATCTTCTGGCACTGTCCGTATGGCATTGTTGCACAGGAGGAGATCGTGCAGTAATGACAGACCCTTAAATAGATTTCCTTCCAGGCTATCAATCTGATTACTGGCCAAATCCCTAGAGACAAAGAACGGATTAACTGGCAGTGGGGTCTTTCTTGGACGATGTGGAATTTGTGTACAGCTTTTCATAGACAGTCTCTCTCTCCAACTTCAAGGGTTGATGTGATGAGTATCGCATTTGGATGCTGTAACTATACAGAAAACTTTTGTCCACCCCATCCTGGGTCATATGGGGAGCAGTAGGTGGAGTCATCAGGATTCATGTTGCTTGTTATTGGTCCCTCCTTATGTTTCTTAATTTCTCTCATGTTTTATGTTAATGGCCCAGTATCATGAATTTTGTGTATAAATATAGCATGACAACGCAGTCCTCATCACATGAACCCCTGGAGACAGAGACAGTCCTTGACACATCAGACATCTTCACAGTGAAACAGCTGATCATCCAAGAAGATTTCTCTGTACACTGTTGCTATGAAAACTTCAAATCATATGCAATAGAGAGATTTCAGGCTCTAACAAGAGAAACTATGATGATTACCATGTTCTGAAACATGATGCTATGCTGTCTGATAGATTGTTACCAATGTTTGGAGGATTATACTGGCTCTGAGAAGTTGGTAATGATCTTTAGATCAGCTTCTTAAGCTTTAAAGAACATGGAGTGTGTACACAGTTGGCATAAAATAATGAATGCATATTTAAAATTTAAACATTTATTTAATGTGATAAGACAGCACTACAAAATAATTTATGTCTTACAATTTCATTACATGTCTAGTGAACATGCCCCCTGTGCACATGTATTGAAAACTGTACACCAATGTATCAAAGTTATTAGTTTAATCCTTTAAAATACAAATTTCTTTTGAATAATATTTAATGATATATTTCTACTTCACAGAAGTAAAGATCAACTGGTTACGGAAGTTGAAATGAAAGATCATTGTTTATACCACGAATTACACAGAACACACAAATACCATCTATGAGTAAAATGCAAAGATTTTTAACATTAAAGGAGCTGGTACATATAGTAACCACTGTGTTTCAAAGGATTAAAAGTAATAAATTGCATAAAAATAGCTAAAAATAATAGCCATGTTAATGTTCATTATTACATAAAACAAAATGCATGTTTTACAGCATGATTGCTGGAATAAAAGCAAGTACAACAGACTCATTTCCGGTCAAGTGAGATTTTTCATTCAAAACGAGTTTCATGCAATTACTGGAGTGTGACCCAACACATGGAAACTTCTTCCCCTTCTGAACTTAAAGTTGTGTGTAAGTAGGGTGGGAGACGCAACATGGCATCTTGTGGGCAGAACTCCAGATACTTACAGCACCCTGAGATCCTTGCAGCCGCCCAGCTCAGGAACTTTGGTCAACTTGTTCGATTTCATGTCCCTGCCAACACAACAAGAACATCTCTAGAAGTCTTTTTTTCTTTCGTCACGCTACACTTGATTTTTATTTCTAGTGTTTTATAGCTTCTTCCGTTTTAGGGTGTAGTAACAAGGGTTGATAGTTCTGGGGTGGCACTGGGTTTCTTGAACACAGAACTCAGTCTTGTTGAGTGAATACAAAATTAGCAACAGGAAAACACTGCAGTAGTTCATGGTTGAGAACATAAATTTTGGACATAAGAGTAATTTTATTTCAAGACACCGTGAAATTTAATATTTACTTAGCGATTTTGGGGTTCATTCTTGCACAGTGAAAGTAAAGAGAGATGTAAATCTCCCTGGATTATGGAAAAAAAATGAATTGTGGCTTTGGACTGAGCCAAGAGCAAAACCATTTTTACTTGCCACAGTAAACTCACTTATTGTTTTATAACGAAAATTAATACAGAAGATGAGGAGAGAATGAGGAAGTAGAAGGAAGATGAGAAGATGAGGATATAGAAAGAAAAATGAGCAGAGGAATATGAAGGAAGAGAATAAGATGAACCAGAAGGAGTAGAGAGAAGAGAGCAAGCGGAAGTGGGTCTGAAAGCGATAATGCCGGTGTGCCGTCTGTTGGGGGTGAGCTGCACTTACAGACTCTTGAGGCGAGGGCATGTCCTGCACAGCGATGTCGGCACGGTGCTGAGACTTGCGCGGTCCAACCTCAGGACCTCAAGGGCTGCAGTACCATTGAGACTAGGAAAGACATCCAGTTCCCGTGCGTCAGACAGGATTCTGCAGGACACAATCCTACATTAGGCATCCTGTGTGCCTTTCATTTGAAGAGTACTACCATTTGGTACAAATTTATATACGTTTTGGAGGAACATAGTACCAGCGTCTTTGGGGAAGGGTGAGGCAGAATGTTCCTCTAAAAAGCTGCAAAATTTCTACCAAATTACACGGCATCACATCTCAGAAGAGAGTACTGTTCATAGTCACTGCTATGAGAGACTCTATAATCTCACAACAAATGATGTGATCTCCAGCCCCATTCAAATCATTTATGTAGTCACATTACATGACGGGAGGTTGGAGAAAACTGCATAATGAGGAACTTCATAACTTGTACTCTTCTCCAAGTATAATTAGAATGTTCAAGTCAAGGAGGATGAAGTGGGCAGGGCATGTAGCATGAATGGGGGAGACAATGAATGTGTATAGGATATTGTGGGAAAGCCAGAAGGAAAGAGACCACTGGGAAGACCAAGGCATAGGTGGGAGAACAATATTAAAATGGATCTTAGAGAGATAGGATGGGATGGATTGGATTGATCTGGCTCAGGATAAGGACCAGTGGAGGGCTCTTGTGAACACAGTAATGAACCTTCGGGTTCCATCAAATGCTGGGAAATTCTTGAGTAGCTGCAGAATTGACGACTCCTCCAGAAGCGCTCAGCTCCATGAGTAAGTAAGTAAGTAATTAAGTAAGTCACATTAGTATAAGGTCAGTGGCTTCTTGTAGGTCTCTAAATTGAGCTGTTACATCACTGGGTCTGCCTACCACCCTAAAGCAGTACGAGTACGCACGCACGCACGCACGCACACACACACACATACATATGAGTGTGAACATTTAACCAAGCATCAATAATCTGCGATACTTACAGTTTGCGTAGGCTGGGAAGGGACGAGAAGGCATGTGGGTGGACGCCCATCAAGGGGTTCCCTTTGAGTTCGAGCAGCGTCAACCCTGAAGCCTGCTGCAGGATTCCACTGGGGATGTACTTAATTCGATTCCCGGACAGGGATCTGTATAGCAATACAGAAAATTCAGTATTTTTATAGCTCAAAAATTATTCATATATAAAAAAGCCCAAAAAATGTAAAGCTATCCCTGTAACAGGCCGTGGACGCCTATAGGATTGTGAGATGTCAAGGCTCCCACATTTTCTCTAGACAATCGGGTCAAAGATGGCGGTAAGGTTGTCGGCCTTACGTGCCGATCGCCCTTTACCCCCAGGAAGATTCCTGGTACTCATTTCTGTTAGAGGCTAAGTCGACCCCAGGGCCATAGCGCGGCCAAAAGGATTAGATCAATTGAAAAATCCAGTCACCTCATCCGGAATCGAACCCGCGACCTTCCGGCTTGTAGCATTGCGCGTCAACAATTATATATATATGTCTTATCTATTTATTTTTTATTTATTTAAGGAACTTAAAGAGATTGAGGGAAAATCGAAGCTGCCTCAAGTGGTAGTGTTTTTTATGTTTATGTTGCAGGTTTCCAGTTCGAATCTCGGCTAGGACACCGACTATTATGATTAAAGTTTTTTTAAAATTTTCCTCAGTCGCTCCAGAGAGCCAATACCTCTAGTTCAGCCACACATAGCTTTGCTTGTTACCCTGTTCAAGCTGGTTTCTTGCTTCCCTTATTCTTCGACCCTGAAGATAGAGGCAACATGTTCCTCCGAAACGTGGGCCAATTTTCAACACACCACACGGCGTTATATCCCAGAAGAGAGAACTTTTCTTAATAAGAAAAATTTGTAATAGTAAAGGTAACATTGCCGGTCACGGCAGCCGAGCGGTCTAAGGCATGCACTGTCTTCGCTCGCTCGGAAGGCGGGATCGTGGGTTCGAATCCCCCTCAGGGCATGGATGTTTGCGTGCGTTTTTCTGTGTTTGTGTACAGGTAGAGGCCTTGCGACGAGCTGATCACCCGTCCAAGGAATCCTACCAAACGTCTAAGATCTAGTAAACCGAAGTGGAACGGAGAGTTTCATGGAGGTAGGCCTAGGCCCAAATGAGGGCTGCAGCGCCAAAGGGGGGGGGGGAAAGGTAAAATTGTCCCTGTGCTTAATTAATCACTGCACCATAAAGGAAAACGGAGGATTAGAGGTATATCTCCATGCATTCTTAACCTTGGCACTAAATTGAGGTTAGTGATCAGCTTCACGCCCCTGTCGTTGTAACACCGCGGTACCCACTGTAAATCGTTTTTCCCCTGCTGTGAATCGAACCTCGATTCGTCTGTCGTCTAGCGCGTGGCCAAGTCAGTATACTGACTGAACTGTACCGGTTCCTAAGCAAACACAGAGACAGGAGAAATAATAATTTTCCCGCAAACTGGCGAAACAGATGAGCGAGGAGTTTCTACGTTGTGTGAAAGATCGGCGACATTTGCCAGAAGGACCCTAAGATTCTGAAGACTGTGCGATTCATTTCTCGTGAAAATACTCGTACATCATTCGTGCCTAATTTAAGGTGGTTATAAGAGGAACGGCAGGCCCGCCATTAATCTATACAGAAGTGGCGATTCACGGTTTATGAATATTCAGTGAAAATGGAAATTTCTACGTCCGTTCCAACGAAGCAGCCCCCATCGAGCGACTTACGACTAATTTCTAATGCCGTTATGACATGGTGACGTCAGAACTAACGATCCGTGTCTAAACAAATGGTCGCTTAAACTGATCAGCTGCAATAATTAACAGCCTCACTCTTCTTCATGAATATGTTGATTAGAGTCGTAATTAACTCCACGGGGCTGGGTCAGTCTTGAGAACGTAACAGTTGCTCAGCAACTCAAGAAATTCCTAACATTTTTTGGTACCCGAATGTTCAGTACCGTATTCACAAGAGCCCTCCATTTGACCCTGATCTAAGCTAAAGGAATCCAATCCCTAATGATCCATCTTATTTCTTTAAGATCCACTTTAATATTATCCTCCCATCTATACCTAGGTCTTCCTTAATATTCCGACATTCTCTTCCATGTGTGCTACAGGTCCTGCCCATCTCATTCTCCTGATAATATTTGGTGAGGAGTGTATATCATGAAGTTCCTCTAGCCTCCAGCCATCCAATACTTCTTAGATGCAAAGATTTCCCTCAGCATTCTAACCTCAAATACCCTCAATCCGTATTCTTCCCTTAGGACGAAAGACCAAGTTTCACACCCATACAAAACTAAAGGTAAAATTCTGTTGTTGTTTTTTTTTATTTTAAACGTTACACTTAATGCAGCCTAGTTTGAAGTAAGGAACAAACTGGGACCTATAAGATTTAAGCTCCTCACTATAAAGACTGTAGTGTTTGAGGACGTGAAGCCGTATAGTCTGGTAGACTTTTACGAATGCTTCATCTTCTACCCAGAAGATGGTGGCAACAATCAATCAAACTGCACGGTAAATGTTCAGATCAGGGCCCGACAAGTACCTTTACAGGTTTCACAGAACCGTATTTCGATCTTATATTCCGTAAGATTACGTTAACACTTCCAAGCATTGTGTTGTTACTAGTGTAATTCGCGTTAACAATTCAAAGGGAAGATTCTTACACACTTTAGCTCCTTTACCTCCTTCACTCCTTTCCCATCCATTTTGTCTGTCCCAGCGTCACTTCCTTCACCGCTCCTCCATCCCTCTTTAAATGTAAAGTAGTTCAGAACGCTTGTACAGAAGAATAACGACAAAATTTCAACAATGATATGTACAATGTTTTCTCTGAGGTCCGCTTTCAGTGTGAGTGCAAGTAAACGTAGCTATCTTTTGGTTCTATCATAACTACCTAAGATTATGGTATTCCGGGTTGAAGGTTGTAGTAGCACATTCCTCCAAAACGTCGGCACCAGCCGCAAAATTATGAGAACGGAGAAATGTTTCTCCGAAACGTCGGTATCTGGCCATAGAACTACAAGATGTGATAATGCGGGAGATCACAATCTCAGAAATTACAGCTGTGAAAACCGTAAAACCCAAGATCGGTATTACATTTAGTTTCCCAGAAAACTACTTAAAGACAAAGCACTGAGCTGAGAAACACCGCTGTGCCTACATGAACAAAACGAAACGTCGGAAGACCTGTAAAGACGCGGATTGACAACAGATTTCTTTTTTAAATGAGATGGAAGAGATCGCTTACTGGAAATAATCCTTACATTTTACTGTGTTACAGATTACTTAGTTCAGTTACAAAAGTTTTTAAAAACGTCCCACACAATGTAGGAATGAAACTAGTAAAAACTCACCTGACTGCATCACTTGAAAGCTAAAGGCGGCGCTAGGAAATGTCTGTTGCTTTAAAAGTGCCATGATGGAATTTCGTAGCAGAATTTCATAAAATGTGATATTATCCAGGAATGAAATCGGAGCCGCATACAAGTCCGATGTGAGAAATGGATAAGTCATAATTATAAATGACATCTGCAAGTTGATAGAACTGCCATCTGGATTTAGTTCTGCCAAACAGGGGTGTCAACATTGCGAATTCACTCTCTTTACAAAGCAGAACGAATGACTCGAAACAAGTTTGACAAGCAAAAAGACTTCTGGCTTCTATTTGGCAGATAAACTAACGTAGATAAGGGGGCACGCGGGAGGCACTATGCTACAAGCAGGAAGGTAGTGGGTTTGAGTACCGATGATGTGGATTTTTTTTTTTCAATTGACCCAATCCTTCCAGCCGCACTATGTCCCTGGGGTCGACTCAGCCTCTAACAGAAATGAGTACCAGGAATCTCCCTGGGAGTTACGGGAGGCCGGAGCGTAAGGTTCACAACCTTACCTCCATCTATGAGCCGACTGTCTAAAAAATGTGGGAGCCTCGACGTCTCACAACCCTATGGGCCTTCACGGCCTGTTACAGGGATAGTTTTACCTTTACTATCGTAGATAAATGTTTTCCTGATTTTCCGCAGCCTCTCCAGATATATTCCCAGATATTATCTAAATCAGACCACAACACAGAACACACCGTCAACGATGTACACGAAATCACAGGCTCTGACGGTGGTCTATCATATTTACTTTTTCTATGAGACACTGTATAATCCGATAGAAGGTTACCCACGTTTCAGAGCTTCCATCTTTCACCCTGAAGATGGAAACAGTATGTTCCTGCGAAACGCTGACAATCACCTGTCCAGATTACACGGCGTCATACTCCAGAAAGTTACAATATGAACCACACTAAATATGTGACAAATCCACGTCCGGTATCCACCAGACTTGCCTTGTGGCCACAACCGTGTGCACTGCTAGTGTATTTACGTACACGATGGGGTACCCAAAAGAAACCGAACTATTTTTTTGTGGGCAGAGCTTTTGTAGTACCGCGTTTTGCCGCTATGAGCGCATAGAGCTAACATTCCTGACTACCTGACTACCGTTGCTTCAGAAGGTAAGGACTAGTTTCGGCAGAGTTTATAGTGACAAATGTTTTTGTGTGATCGTCGTTTTTGCAATGGCTGATTTTCGTGAACAGCGTGCGGCGGTGAAATTCTGCTTTTTGCTCGGGAGAAGTGGAACAGAAACTCTCGAAATGTTAAAAACGGCGTACAAGGACGATGCTATGGGGAAAACTCAAGTGTTTGAGTGGTTTCCCCGTTTCAAAAATGGTGAAATGTCAATTGATGACAAACCTCGTTCTGGTCGTCCTTCCACGGCCCGAACACATGAAAATGTTGAAAAAATTCGTGAAATCATCAAGCAAGATCGATGACGGACCATTGAAGAAATTGTGGAGCTGTCGGGAGTGACTTGGAGCTCAGCGGCCAGATTTGTGGCAGTCAGGTGACTGGTTTTTCCATCATGATAATGCCCCTGCTCACACAGCCCTGTCTGTACGACAATTCTTGACCAAAAATGGTATGACCCCTGTTCCTCACCCTCCATACTCACCCGACCTTGCCCCGTGCGACTTTTTTTGTTTCCTCGAATGAAAAGAGACATTAAAAGAAAAAACGACGGAGGCGCTGTCAAGCATCTCAAAAGATGAATTTAGACAATGTTTTGAAAAATGGAATAAAAGACTAGACAAGTGTATTGGTGTAAGTGGAGAGTACTTTGAAGGGGATTGAACGTTTGTGCTTAAAATTTGAATAAATAAGTTTAAAAAAATAAGTTCGGTTTCTTTTGGGTACCCCCTCGTATATATACATGGCTCTACAGCCCTTGTGGGCCTTGGCCACTCTTTCAGTTTTTAATCTACACACAGTCGGTAGGACGCCTTGGACGGGGGATCAGCCCGTTGCAAGGCTCCTATCTACACACAGAACAACACAAACACAGAATAAACGCACACACAAACATCCATGCCTCGAGTGGGATTCGAACCCACGATCCCAGTGTTTGAGCGACCACTATGATCGGCAATATGAACCTGTGTCACTTTATAGAAGGAAATTATTCACTTACAGGTCCTGCAGCAACGTAAGTTTCGTTAGGGCCGATGGAATGTGAGTTAGTAAGTTGTCGTCCAGTTCCCTGCAATATAAGAAACATAAAACACTAGAGAAGTAAGACCAACACAACACATAAATAAATACCCCAATCTTATGCAGATGAACAAATGTGATATGTGAGAAATACTGTATGAGAGCCTCAAGAGGAGGGGGGGGGACTATGAAAATTACTGTTGTCACCTTGGTGACTCTTAGATAGGTATTAACGTTCGAAGGAATTAATATCTCCATCTTCAGAGTAGAAAAGTAAACCCACACAAAAATAATACAAATTATTGAAATGGCTGACAACGCAGTCATTAAATGCACTTTCAATTCGTTGGCAAACACACAGAATCGTTTTCGTGGCCAGTTTTATTAATACAGGGTGTACCAAAATGATTGGAGCAGTTTCAAGCGGCCATAACGGCTTTCGATATGCATGCAGAAGTATGTTTCCCGCATGGAACGAAACAGCAGGTATTCAAGTTTTGATCGCGTGCGCAATCCCACTTCCCCCCTTCTCTTTTTTTTTCGGTCCGTGACGTCACAAAGATAAAATGGCGACTCCGGAGCAGAAAGCGTTTTGTATGTTGTAGTTTGCGAAGCATGAATCAGTTGTTTCTGTTCAGCGGGCCTTCCGGCGACAATTCTAGAGTGATTCCCGCATCTGCCAGCAGCATTAGGCGTTGGTATCAGCAGTTTCAGACAAATGGGTGCCTTTGAATAACGAAAAAAATTGCAGGACGTCCGTGTGTGCCAGAAGAAAGTGTGGAACGAGTGAGAGAGTCCTTTCTTCGCAGTCCGAAGAAATCTGCGAGCCTTGCGGGTCGTGAATTGGAGATGTGAACTATGAGTGTGTGTGTGTGGGGGGGGGTAATGCGGGGGGGGAGTGGAAATGAAGCCCTATCGTCTCCACTCGGTGCAATTTCTTAAGTCATTTTGGTACACGGTGCATATAACAATTATTTTAGTTTTATATTGATACTGTGATATTTTTTCATTAGAAATCCTTTTATCTTGCATCGCGTTTGTCTTAATTTAAAACTGCCAATACTTCTTAAACTTTCCAAATTGCATCCGTGTTAATTGGAATTTAATTTATTCAAAATTTCTTGATTAATGTAAATAGGCCCCTCTTGAATCACCCTGTATAATCCTTAAGAGTTGTATCCTATACTTACAAGGTTCTGAGTGAAGTTAGGTTCATAAAGGCGTCATCATCAATACTAGAGATCTGGTTTCTCTTCAGTAACCTGCAACACATAAAACCATTCCACTACATTGATTCCCAAATTATTTAAGGCCCATAACTATAATTTTAAACATCCACAGCAGCCTAAAAAAGTACACTATCTTAACCCTTTAAAGCATAATACTGTGGAATATTTGCTCAAAGCAAGAAAGGTGAAGCCTGAGAAATAACCGTTGCTAGGCAACGGTCGCAGAACAAACACGGGAACGACGTCCGTTTCTAGGCAGCATATTTTTAATAAGCAGAATAGACGCCAGCTTCTAAGGAATGGCTAGGTAACCACGTTCCGGCTGCAATGGATAGGCATGCAACAATAGAGGTACTGTTGGAAACGGAGTTTTCTACGGTAGTCCGTGTCGAGGAGTTATAAGGAAGAAAACTGGGGAACCAAATCAGTTCTATATGGGAGTCTATGAAGAGAGGACTTGAGCCGAAGGCAGAGGAACAGCCATTGTTGGAGCAGTTACCAGGAAACGTCTAGTAACAGACTAAGAACACTAGACTGTGTGTTTTAGTGAACTGAAAAGCGTAGAAATAGTGTTACTATTGTAATTATTTGTAGTTACGACCTTAAGTTGGCAATATATCTATTCACTAATCCAAACCCCGTCTACAGTTACACACACATACTACGTGACAATACTATATGTACCCGTCTATGGCTTCTGAGGCACACGTTTCTTCTAGACACGACTTAAAAATTGAATACCTCCCTCACAGAAAAGATGATGCGTGTACATTGTCTAGCAGACTGCTTAATGCAGTTTAGAGACATAATCGCAGGTTATTCAGAGAATTACACGAAACATATAAACATACTGCGTGGGGGAAAATTCTAAAGGAAGTGGTTGTAGCCTAACTGAGGTAAGGTAAAGACAATAATTTGTTCCTGTGCTTAATTATTTAAGCATTATATCATGAAGACATATTGGGGAGCGGGGTTACAGCTCCACCCTTGTTCACCTCGGTACTAGACGGAGGCGAATTGTCAGCTTCACGCCGCGGCCGGCTTAACCGCCCAGGGGTGAGGAAAAACACGAAATCTCCTGGAATAGTCAGTGTCCTAGCCGAGATTTGAACCTAGCACCAGCCAGCTGTCAGTGGTATATACCTCGTACGTTAAGGAGTTAATGTTAGAAACATGTGTTCCTCTACTACAGTGTGTCTACATGCTCCACATGACTCCTGAAGAGCGGTGACCGGTTGGTCCTCTTTTAATGCATAACAAGTGTGTTTCCTGTGAGGTAGGAACTGAATATGTTAACTACTGTTGGAGCGATCGCTTCGAATGGTTAACGTTGAATGCATCAGGAACATGGTACACGCACTGTCACATTACGTATTTCGTCTCAGACGAGTGCATTTAAGGGGAAACGGTTTTTAGATGTTCAGCGCTTCGCTTTATAATAAAGAGAGAAGGCGGAGCTTCTAGAAACTTCAAAACATGTTCTGTTAGGTGATGCATGACTGGAAACGGCTGCCAGTCCAGAGATGTTGTTTAGAAGGCTGTTGGGGATTAAGCGTGGGGGATAGCCACGTTGCGTTCGCAAGACAGCATTATTATCTTTCCTGTCAAGGAGTTTTCATTTAGGGTGTACTGAGAAATGTTAGCATGAACGTACCGGACAACTCACCTGTCTGATCGACAATTTGATTGCGAATCGAAACGTAGGCCTTGCTTGCCCTGTAACCTGACGCCCTACTTTTTTATACCATCAGATTCAAAGCAAAGAAGGACATGTCGTGGACAGACGGCAAATTATGAATACCCTAACTAACTAACTGACTAACTCCATGAAGCTGAGTTCTTCTTCAGGACCAAACAGTTTTCCTGCCAATCAATATATTCACAGAATTTCATGGAACTCGAACGTTCATTACAGTGTTCACAACAGCCGCACGTTCTCCCAACCGATTTTTAATATTATCCTCCCGGTTAGCGTAGTTGGTTGAGGCACTATGCTACAAGCCGGAAGGTCGCGGGTTCGGTTCCCGATGAGGTGGATTTTTCAAGTTACCTAATCCTTCCAGCTGCGCTATGGCTTTGGAGTCGACTCAGCCTCTAACAGAAATGAGTACCAGGAATCTTCTTGAGGGTAAAGGCCGGCCGGCGCGTAGGGCTGACAACCTTACTGTCATCTGTGAGATGAATGTCTAGAGAAAATGTGGGAACCTTGACGTCTCACAACCCTACGGACCTTCACGGCCTGATACAGGGATAACTTTACTTTTTACCTTTTTTATCTACGCCTAGATCTTCCAAGTGATCTATTTCATTTTGATTTTCCCACAGAAATATTCAATACATTTCCGTCCAATGCGTGCTACATCCTCCACCCAGCTCATTTTCCCTGAAATGACCATCCTATAGCATGTGGGGGGCAACCTAAGTTGTATAGCTGCTCATTACACAAAGACGCCGAATTATAAATGCTACACCAGGCAAAGAATAGCACATTGTAGGTGTACGAGAAGTCACGTGTTCATTGCCGAATGCGTGAGGTTTAAGTCTGTCCCCCCCGGGGTCACTGTAAGGCATAACGGTATTCTGAACGTGGCGCTGTGCAGTCTGGTACGGGGTGACCGACGTTTCGAGGAACATACCGCCTCCAAACTGACAAAACAGAAAACGCGATGAACATAGCAGCGACTTATTTAAGTAACCACAGTACACCCTGTCTAAAGCATTTCTGAGTTTACGTCACAACTTGAGTTGCCAACATTACGGAACAGAAATCCCTATGAGTTCAACGAGATCTCCGGTATGGCGTCTTTGGTTCCCATCGTAATTTGAGAATATAATTTTGTTAATTTTCCGATCATGTGACAAACAACGTCACTATCTGATGATAACGCACCCTCGAAGATGTTTCAGACACAGAATAACGAATTATTTTAGCTTTATGAAGTAAGTGGACCGCATCAGAATGAGAATTCAGAACGCAAAAGAGCAACAGAAGCAAAAGAACATATTGCGTGTACTCCGGTGCTGACATGAAGCTGTTTTCACACACCTTCGGGCTCCGGGAAATTTATTGGCTAGTTAAGCCATTATTAGCTCCTCAATAAAGACTCTATCTAATCCATGGATTCTGCTAGCTGCTTAGTTATATACATATATACAAAAAGTAATATACATAAATTATAGTATGTCACGAATGAGACAGCATCCTTTTTTTTAGTGTATCGTGTCTATTCTGTGAATATTCATTACATTTTGGTGAGGATATATGAAGCGTAGTATACTACATAAAGGGAGATATTTAAGATTGACCATTTGTGCGTGTTATTCGTGGGAGATACCGTTAAACACACGCCTAGTCTATCATTCGACAACGTGTAGTACTGGAAAGGAATAGAGGATAAAACAGGCTAAGTTATCAGTAGGAAAACTCACATAAAAATGACGAGACTTTACATGAAGACTGAAAAGGTGTAAGAATATTCCTACACAATTATATAGCCTGAAGCTGCTTGTGGCCAATTCTTAAGCACGATTTATGATCTACCTGTATATCAAACAACCAATTTACACTACGCCTTGGATGCCACAAGCAGATTATCGTTAATTATCGAATAAAACGGTCGTTTATCTGCTGCAATAAGGTCAATGTTCGCTGGGATATGTAAGGGTCGGTTCATCATGGAGCTGGTGTTAAGATGGAAAACTTAATTACAGGTCGCTCTTAAAAACTGATATAGGCGTTTCGCGCTTGCGCAAAGAATTTATAAACTGAACACCGTTTGTACAGTCCATGCATACAATATTTCTCATTGCGTGGATCCCTCTATTTGAAATATTCTGAAGTACGTATATCTGCAGTAAGCAGATCACAGTGGCCGTGCATGACTTGTCTTCGCTTGCTCCAACGCTGGGATCGCGGGTTCGAATCCCACTCAAGGCGAAGATGTCTGTGTACATTTATTCTGTGTCTGTGTTGTCCAGTGTGTAGGTAACGGCCTTGTGACGAGCTGATCCCCCGTTCAAGGTGTCCCCCCCGTCTGTGTAAAAAAGATTACGAAACTGAAAAAGGGGTCAGGGCCCAACAAAGGGCTGTAGAGCCACAGATGAATGAAATATGTACAGCAAAAGCTCGGTAATTTGGACGCGCCCTCTGAAATTCGGAGTACATCATTTTTACCTTACCATACATGTGCTATGGGAACGTACTGTGATCATATCGATCTGCAGATTTTGACGGATTTACAAGTTCTGAGACCCCTCCACCAACCTCACCCCTACCCCCGAATACGGAAACGTTGTTTTGGTATGCCCTTGCTTGTGTGTACAGATGCAGGCCTCGCTAGCGTCTGGGAAGGTTCGACGGGATTTATTTATATTCGGCGTTTAAGAGTTTATCCATCCTAGGTCAGCGCCCGGTGAATATGGACATGGCAGCTACAAAAAATTATGGGGCCTTCAAAGGAGCCTCGGAACATAAAATCGCGTTTTTCTTGGAAACAATTCAAATTATTTTAATTACATTTCAGTAACTCATGGAGAACATCTCCATAAATAAAACTCAACGTGCGATGTCTTCAGGAATACGCGCAATGGGGGGCCGAAACGCGAAAAGTCAGTTTCCTTGAAAAGAGCTGTAACGACTTTCATTACATTTTTATCACGTTTAGAAGGGGGGGGGGACCCCAATAATAAGGCCCTGACCCACACAGCGTGTGTGAGAAGGTGTGTGCAATGTCTCTGCGCAGATATTCTTTTTCTGACGTACGTACTTATCACAGAAGGCGATACCTTCCCAAAACGATAGTTTAATGACCCAATTCCCCCATTCCTGCCGGCGTAGATAAGATTCGAAATGCGCGTCCAGGGCCGCTTTGTGCTGCCAACATTCATAGTCGGATTTAACGGAAAGCGACTGGGGTAGTGACCCCGGGGCCCCCCAAATCCATAGAGTTTACTGCGACGTTTGCTTCTCTAAAACAACGAAAAGTTACTTTGTAATCTTAGTTGTTATTATAATAATAATAATAATAAGGTAA